ATGAATATTTTTATTATATAAAATCATCCCTAGGTTAAAATACTGCTTTACTTTAAATAAAATTTATTTAGCCAATTCAAACGGAGGTGTAGCTCAAAATTCTCCAATTAATGGTTTGAGCACTTGCGTCTGGCAAGGCTATCAGGGTTCGAATCCCTGCATCTCCAAAAGCCCTTTTTCTTTATTTTTTGCAGTTGACCAGTGTTACTGGGCTTTGTCTATGAAAAAATAGAAATTCATGGGCCCAAATCGAAACCATCAACTTCTTTTTCTTAATTTTTTGCATTTGCTCGTGTGTATTAGGCTTTATCTACAGAAATTATTGGGCCCAAATCCAATCCATCAACTTGCTTGACTGCAAAACCCACATCACATTTGGCTTCTCCACAGTTGCACACAAAAGCAAAAAACAAAAGATGCTCAGGTCATGAGATTGGGATTAGATGTTGGTTTATCTTAGAGACTTCCTGATATCTAACCTACCCAAACCTCTTTTAGAGCAAAGGTGCCATTAGTGAATTGTATGGCATTGGGTGCTGCCTAAGTTTATTCCCATAGTGCAACTTAACACGCACATGCCATTATGCCAAGTGCCCTATTAACAACTGCAGTGCACTTATGGAACTGGAAGTAAACATTCAACCGAAAAATAATAAACCACCACAAAGAGTGGTCTATAGTTCCATACTCCTAATCGTCTGCTGGCAAGACAGAACACTGCTGACATGTACCGTTGCTTCAGCATTTCAATGTACAAGAGATTTGGTGGTAAGAAGCAGTCTTTCTGTTTCCCATACATGATCTTCCACAAACAATATCAATCTAGGGTAAAGGAAACATTTGCACTCTTATCAGCACCAAATAAATCTACTTTCGAGGATTGGGAGGATAGCACGATAAACCTCCAGTTGTTGGATATACTTTTTTTTGTAAAAAATCTTACAATTGAAGTCGAAATCCATTTAATGCACAAAGTTGAACATATAAATCGTGTTCCTTGGTTAGGCACAAGTCTTGAATCTGGGCAAGACGTTAAACAACAGTACTGAGTCCTACATCTCCATTACAACTAGACTGATCATATATGGGGACCTCTGTACCACGAGATTTTGAACAAAAGGCATGATGATGTTGACAGTTCATATAGTGCAGTTGAAATGATGGAACAGAGCTGCAAGATGAAACAAAGTATAATTAGACGATAAAATAAAATCCATTATCCTAAAATTGCAATCTGAGCTATGATACACACTCACCATTCAGTTTCTATCAACTAATCCAAAAAACTGTTCGAAGCTAGGAGAGCAGAAAACATTTGATGCGGAGCGTTCAGGTTTAACTGGAGATATGCAAAGCTGATACTTGATGAATCTCTGGGAGGAAAGGAATTTACAAAGGAAAAAACATTAGTAAATTGTATGCTACAAAGAATATGAATGAAAAGCAAATTAATGCTCGAAGAGATAGAGGTACTGTACAGCCAATTGAAAAACAATATCCGGATTTGTATCAATATGCCAATCTGGTTCAAGTTGCCGAACAAATGAAATCCGTCCATTTTCCATGCTAGAAAATAGAACCTGCAGAAAGGTACCATTCACAAAAAGTTATATCTAACAAACCCCAAAACAAACATAATATAGAGAGGATGACAATATTCAACTACATATTATAACAGCATTTTTATTTTTGTAAAGACCTAGACCTATAAAATAAATGATACCTTATCTTTAACAAGGCCGCCAGATGTAAATACCCCAGCCTCCTCTAAAGCCGAAAGAACCCTTTCCTGAATCAAAATTAAGATTAAGTTAATGACAGGGTAAACTATGCAAAGAATAGCGTACCTATATAACATGAATAGTTAATCAACTCTAGAGCATAATGTTGCATAACATGAATTTAACAAATCATAGTTTCTTGTTCACATTTTGCGAACACAGTCTGTGATACGTAAAATGTGCTAATGGTGCATACAAGTCTCCTAATAAACACTAATCCTGAAATGCTAAAGTTTAATGAATGACTGAAGTCAACTATTTGGTAGAAGACACACAACTATATTCACATTCATCTATTATATATAGTAAACTGCAAATTAAATAATGCATCAGCAGAACATTGGTTTATGGGTTAAGGTTTTGAAATGCTTGAAAACAGGTGAAAACTATGCTCACTGTATTAAGGACAGTTTTTGGCTACTTGGAACACAAAACACTTTTTCTCTTTTTTCTTCTTTTCACTTTCTTCATTATTACTGGACTCAGCGCCTAGGCCCAGGCGCTAGGCGGGTGCCAGGCGTCCTATTTTGGGGCTAGTCGGGTGATCTAGGCGGGGATGAATTCTGGGCGGGTTCTAGGCGGGTCTGTGCAGGTTCTAGGCGGTTCTAGATGGGTCTGGGCAGGCGGGTTAGGTACACACATAACCCAAAAATCCCAAATCAGATCGGGTTTCTCTCCCATCTTCTTCTTCTTGCACGCCTGCACCTCCATCCCAAATCAGATCGCGTTTCTCATCACCGTCATCAGTTGGTTCTCATCACCATCATCAGAAAATCGTGTTTCTCTCTCTTCTAAATCGATTTCTCTCTCATCAGTAGATCGTTTCTCTCTCATCTGGATCGTTGGTTCTCTACTAAGTAAGATAATCTTACTCTTTCAATGTTTTTTCAAATTGATTTCTTTTCTTTTCTTTTCAAATTGAGTTTGAGTCGGGCATGATGTTGAAGACTATGAAAATGAAGAGATGGAAGATTAGATTATATATTTATATGTTTATAT